TGGCTATTAGCCAGGATGGGCAGGGATGATGTCCCTAGCCTCTGTTTGCCAGAGGATGGGAATGGGTGACAGGGGATGGATTACTTGATGATTACCTGTTCTGTTCATTCACTTTGGGGCACCTGGCATTGGCCATTGTTAGAAGACAGGATACTGGACTAGATGGACCTTTGGTCTGACCCAGTATGGCCATTCTTATGTTCTCAGTTGTAGTACTGTGTCCAATTCTGGGCACCACGCTTTAGGAAAGCTATGGATAAATTGGAAAATGAGTCCAGAAGATAGCAACAAAAATGATAAAAGGTTTAGAAAATTTGACCTCTGAGGAAAGGTTAAAAAAACTTGGGATGTTTAGTCTTGAAAGAAGAAGACTGAGAGGGGACATAACAGTCTTCAGATATATTAAGGGCTGCTATTAAGAGGATTGTGATCAATTGTTCTCCACGTCCACGGAGGGCAGGAAGAAGTAATGGGCTTGATCTGCAGATTTAGGTTAGATATTTCTGAGATTTAGGTTAGATATTAGAAAAAATGTTCTAATAACAAGGGTAGTTAAGCTCTGAAATAGGTTTCCAGAGGTGTGGAATACCCATCATTGGAGGCTTTTAAGAACAAGTTGGTCAAACACTTGTCAGGGATAGTTTAGGTTTACTTCATCCTGCCACAGTGCATGGGGCTGGACTTGACTTCTCAAGGTACTTTCCAACCCTACGTTTCTATGATGGTTTTGCATGTGTAAGTTCTATGTCTCCTAATGAGTTTGGTTTATGTAAATGTTGTCGACTACACACACAAATGAAAAAAGGCCTAAAATATGCAAAGTTGTACACACAAAAACGAAGGCCACATTTTAAAAACGTGTCCCTTTAAGTCCACAGCAGTTACCGTACATCAAACGTTATCTAACCTTACAGACACAAATGAAAGGGAGAGAGCTGAGAGTCCACAAATCCTTAACAGAGGGAACCAAGGGATATGTGAGGAGCTACCTCAACTCACCTTTCTGAGTTCTCATCATGCCACTGTTGGTTATTACTGACAGGCTCTATACAACACTTCTAAACAATCTGTACCGTTGTTATAGGTATAAGATACCCATCAGTCTGGAGCAGCTTGGAATGGATTTTCTGCTTATTAGTGGACTATTTTTCTTGCAGTATATGGCAAATTTCTAATAGTGGATGATTTCCTGTCTGGACATCCCATTTATAGTTTGTGGCACTGCGGTATGATGCGTTTACACTATCACTGAACATTGCTGAAGGACCTCGTTAACTTATGCAAACAGTGAATTGGTAGTTTTCAAAATGCCACTCTTTTGCCAAAGAAATCTAGCTGACAGTGACAGTCAAGTACTTAACTGGTAAATAAGGTGGTTCAGAAGACGCAACTTCACTTCAGGTATGTGCAACAATGATAGGTTAGGGAGTTATTTATTGGTATTACTCCAACTCTCTGTACATTTGGGGATGCTGGGGAGGTTAATAGAATTTAATTTTATTTTTAAACACTTTTGCCCCACAGGTTAATGTGCTAAAAATACAGCAGAAACACAGAAAATGATATTGATACATTAAAAGAGAGTCATGGACAAAACAATGAGATCCTTGCTCATTTCTTACTCTGGCAAAACTCCCATTGACTTCTTTGGGAGTTTTGCCTCAATTCCTGCAAAGTCTCACTCCCACCATCCCAATCCTGCAAAGTCAATGAGACACTCATGGATAAAGATAAGCATACACAGAACTGGTAAATAAAACCTAAGGATCTTAGGACTTGTCCACAAAGCATACCATAACCTGCAAAAACTTTTGAAGAAGTTAGGCCAGACTTATATTCTTCATACTGCAGTATATGGAGTAACAATTAGAATACTTCCAGATACAGGAAATTCCAAGCATTCTGTAAATAGAGTAGCTTGGAACAAAGTTATTTTGCAGAGACATGTCTATGACTGTAATAAGTTTTGAAAATTTACTCACTTAACTATTTGACTCAATTTATCTAATTGATACTTGTGGGTTTTTTTGTTTTGTTTTGGTTTTTTTAGTGACATGAAGTTAATATACAGGGTTATTGTATAAAAGAGGTATAGTACCTAAAACAACCAACTGAAAAAAATCACATTCTCTTCCCGTCTGTTAAAGGTTTCATGGAACCTATATAACCTGTGGGGGGTGTTATAGTTAAATCTACATTTATGTTTTACTGCCTGAATATTTTTTAAAATTTATCTTTCACATATCTTTAAAAGTATCTAGATATTGAAGTATATAAGACCTTATATGAGCGCGTCTCGGTGGTTCATCTTATGTGCCACATGTACAATAATGTCTAGGAACAATGAGGTCAAGCTAAGGACACTGTAGCAAATAGGAAGACGGAACATACTAGATTTTAAAGGCTTAAATCCCAAATCTAATCTTATTTTAAATTGGTATTTTTTCTTTAGTATGCAGACTCTGTCTGTATCTCTCTAAATACACACACACACACACACACACACACACACGTAGGTGAAATGGATCTGTAAATGTAAAACATGAGAAATGACATCCACTGAGGTACATTTTTAGTAACATAGAACAGAAATGATTGACAGAACAAAGCATATGGAAACGAAGAAGAATCTAACCCACATTTAGATCTAAGAAAAAAATATTTGCCTGAAGGGAAAATATTAATTAGTTTGTCTACATGCAAGATAAAAGTCTGGAAGACATATCCATCAAAAGGCAGCAGAATAAACAGCAAAATGGAAATTATTTGTAAATTGACAGTAAACTTGGCAAACATTGAGGGGGTAAACAAGTTATTTGGCATGCAAAGCACTCAGAAATCACAGCCTCTGTCAGGAGGCATCTGTGCATATATTCACTTATTTGACAGAAATTAACATTCTGCACAAATCTTTGTTGCATGCTAAAGATTTCTTCACCCTCCTTAATTATTTTAATTGCTGCTTCAAAATGTTCCCTATAAACATGAAAAAGGACATTAAAATCCACCAAGTCCAGTTCCATGTTATCAATAACACACAGCAACTCTGTACAGGAGTTTAACACAAAACCTACTGAGACATAAAATATTTACATAAAAGAGCCACATTTGTTTTTCTTGGTTGAAATTTAAGATGTCCTCTCAGTATTACGACAGGTTTAAAAAACAAAACACTGTCATATAAACAAATGCAATCCAACTGCTTAGAGGGCCAGGGTTCATTGAGATCGTTCTTTTATCAATAGTTTGCCATACTGTGAGGAAAAACTAGATTGTGACATTTGCATTTGCTAAATATTATTGTAATAGCCATACCATATCCAACCTCACTGATACGCTTCTTTCAACAAACTAAGCAAAGTAATATATAACACAGCTATTTCCCCCAGCTCACAGGCAGACAGGCACAAAGTGATGCCTACGTGACTTTGAAAGGGGATCATTGTTAGGTGTGTCAATTAGCCAAGCTGTTCTACAACCCTAAGCTACAGCCAGATTCTGGCTGCTCTTCAGGGCATGCTCAAGATGGGGGTTAGGCTGCACCTGCACAGGGGGTTGATAGAATCTCAGTGCTAAAAATGAGTTGAAGGAGCTATAGTAGACAGACTTGGCCATGGCTCTGCCCCCTTCAAAAATGTTTGGTGGTCCAGAGCTGGTGAATTACTGTATTCACTCACCCAGTCTTCCTTCTGGTCCCTGCAGTAAGAATGCTTAGGTCACATCATTGGTGTTGTACACCTCTGACACTGCTTAACGTTGCAGTGGGTGTTAAAGCTATAATCTAACCCCTGAACTGCATGTTTCTTGGGGCAGGGACCATGTCTCTATGGTTTGTACACAGTGGAATAAAATGATGGTTCCCAGTGAATGACAATAGATATTAAATGATCATCACAATAGCTGAGACTAAGAGCACAGCAGTTATAATTACTGTTGTCTATGTCCATGGATTTATACAGGAAGCTACTGTAAGAGGTCAATGTAAAAAATATGTTTTTAAATAGAATCCAAATAACATATGCTGCAAAATTTAGGAGCTCTGTTGTTAATCAGACCCACATAACATGCCAGGTCCTCAACTGGTGTAAATTTGCATAGCTCAACAATGGAAATATGCTGATTCACACCAGCTGAAGATATTCTATTTAAGCACTATTTCTCTTTCTACACAACCCCTGAGATAACAATGGTCCTTTATGACATGGTGCAAGGCCAATAGATCCCTTCTCTTTCAGGCTAATGGGGAAGTAAATTCAGAGTCAAGAGCCCTCTATCAAGAATGCCCAGCTGGTGACCCCAGGTATTTAAGCCTGTTGGTGTTGGTTCAAATACTCCATCTGACTTCAGCTGCCATGGCTTTACACAGGGAGAGAGGTGCTCTGTGAGTTGCCAGGATTTAAGTCAGGTGAACACACCTTGAATTAGACCCAGAAGCAAATAGGAAGGCTGTGCAGGTTTATGACAAATGAAAGATTCCATTCCCAGGCCATGTCTAGATACCTTTATGTCCACCCTTTCTGAATATCTGTGTAAAACATTTGTAGCATTTCAGTGTCATCTCCCTCTGGTCACATTTTCACATGGTTCTGGATATACCACAGAACAGAGTGTGAAGTAAGTAGATACCCAACTTTGGGGGGCAGTCCTGTAAGCATATGACCATGGAAGGTATTTTAATGCCATTAAATATATGATTGCTTATACTAGATTATGGTTTTCTACTGATGAAAATGTTATAGGTTTGTGGTGAAAATACTTATACCATTATTTATCATTTGAATTTTAAAAAAGGAAATATTTCAACTTTCAGAAGTTGCTGTGTTTCTTTTGTATCTTTCATTTTCAGTCACTTGCATTGTTTCTCATTAGTCAGCTCTACAGTCTAATACTATCTAATCCTTTTCTTTTTATATGTAAAATGACACAGTTTAATGCTCCACAGTTTAATATCTGTGAAGTTTTATCTTTATTTGTTTGGAAAATTTGAGTCAGATACTCACCTACTGTAATTTCCAAAGAACAAACAAATGAAAAAGGGCAGTCCATTTTCATGCAAATCCAGCCAGCTGTTTAGCTGAAGCTGCCCTTGCGTTTTGATGTGAGGATCTGCATAAAAAACAAAGTGGAGATATGATAAAATATAAAAGACTGACAATAACATGCAAATCGAAATCAGTCACTGGAAAACTGTGGACTCATTGTCATCAAAAGAATTAGGTGGCAGAACAAAACAAAAGAGCCCTACTGATAAAAGTAACTATGGCGTGATGGCTTTAAAATTTACAGATTTCTTATATCACAAAGAAAACTGAAATTAAACACCTCTCTAGACTGTTTACTTTTAATCTTTTCTTTCTGAGCTGTTTCCTGACATATTCTCTGTTAACTCTTTATCAAAGGTCATTTATAATCATATTTAGGAGATAAAAAAAATAAAAATGAATTTATTTAATAAGTTTTAATCATCAAGTGCCCAGGTAAACTGATATGAAAATAAGCAGCTACACATTATGCAATGCAATCCGGATATTGAAAAATAATTATAGAAAATATTAACAATTCCTTTTGTGATTAACTCTGAAATGTTACATTTTAAGCACAATCCTGCTCCCATTGAAGTAGATGGTTAAACTATATGAAAGTAGAGCAGATCTTGTCTAAAACATACTTCTAAGACTGGATGGTGTAATGATAAACCCCCAGGTTCCTACATGCAGTCAGTTGGTGACAATGACTGAAAATGATGCTAGTCAGAGCTCACTGCCAAACATAAGCAAGCTATTATCTGATGATTCTTTTATATGTATCCCTGCTTATGAATGCAGGTGAATACATTGTCATTAATTTATTGGAAGAACTTTGTGAAATGTTTCAAATACAATATTAGGGCTGGTTGAAAATTTTCTGTCTAAATTGGTGTTTGACAGACAACTGGATTTTTTACAAAATGAAAATTTCCACAGAAACTTTGTTTTCCACAGAAAATTTCAGCTTTTTGACTAAACATGCAAAAACTCAAACCCCAAAAATGTTAAATTTTCAGATGAAAATTCTCCATTTTTTCTTTTTCAATGAAAAATCGACATTTTCTTTGGGGAAAAACCCCCAAACATTTTCTGATCAGTTTTAAAATGTATTCATTTAACATATACATTTCCCATAATTAGCCAAGCTTTACCTTTGACAAAGTATAGTAGAGAATGCATTCCTTTTTCAGTTTTACATTTTATTTTTTATTGATGGTTTTTCAGAAAGGACAGGTAACATTGCCAAATTAGATCATGAAATAAAGCTGTTCACCACAGCTCTTTAGGGTAAAAATCAACAGGACATAGCTTTTAATAATGTCCTTGTGATGGTTCTTGGGGTACACCAGACTGTTAGCCACCCAAGCACTTGCCTCTGTGTCTTGCAGGTTAGCAATAGGGGCCCCCCACTCCCTGACCCACCTTGAAACATGGTGTACCCCCTGTAATGTCCAGCTGTTCTTCACTGAACACTCACAGAAATACCAACTCTGCTGTCCCCAAAGGAACAGTGTACACAGCAGCTTGTATACGTCAGCTCAGGATCAGCACCTTGCTTAATACCACAGCACTGAGATATATTTATAGTGAAAACAAAAATACATTTATTATCAAAGATTCAAGACATAGTGAGTAAGGATAATGGAAACAAATGGTTACATATAACACAAATCCTAACACTCTTTCTAGAGATTAAACTTAATTTAAGAGGCTAACCTCCTGTCTAATAAACTTTATCTCACCCAAAGGATTTGGCAGCATCTTCACCAAAGCTGGTTGTGATCCTGTTTTCATGAACGTAAAAGCACTGCCTGTTTACTTCCTACGTGCAGGATAAGGACTTGTCTTCCTTGCCTTCTACTTATATCTCCAAAGTTCATTGTCTGTACTCAGACAGTATAACCTCACATCACTTGTTTTCCTGTCTCTTCCCTATCAACTTCACATATCTCAGTTGAGTTCATATGTAAAAAAGTATTTTCCATTGTGTAAACATATTTTGTCTGACTGGAAAACTGTTTCTCCATCTCTGCTATGATACAGAATCTAAGAACATATTTTCAGTGTACATACATAGCTCCTTAAATAGTATCAGTACATACATTTCACAATAATATTAATGATCCTAGCTTTCATTTAAGACCTCACAGGACATTCTTTTGTGAACCAAAATGTACATTCCAGAATCAGGATATTCTTGTAACTCCTTTGGCATTGAGGGATTCTTGGGTTACAGTCTCTAATTAGTTATCAAACCTAATATCAGTATCTGTGCTCACTCCCAATGAGCTAAATTCATACTAGCAACTTCATTCAACTTTGAGGAAGTGCACATTTTCACCCAATTTGAATTTGATCCAGTGTTCCTGTTTTATGAACACCCTCTATATATGAACACCCTCTATACCAGTAGCAGTTTTACTCTCCCCTCCCTACCCATTAATACCCTGTTAACATACACACCAATCAGGTGGACTGTGGGTTGTAAATTCACAAGTCATATATAGCCATTATGTGAAACACTGGAATGCGTTGCCTAGGGAGGTGGTGCAATCTCCTTCCTTAGAAGTTTTTAAGGTCAGGCTTGACAAAGCCCTGGCTGGGATGATTTAGTTGGGGATGGGTCCTGCTTTGAGCAGGGGGTTGGACTAGATGACCTGTTGAGGTCCCTTCCAACCCTGATATTCTATGATTATGACTCATCAGTAGCCTCAAATTCACCAGCTATTTCAGGCAGAAGAATCCCTGTGAATGGAAGGCTCAGCATTTACTATAATATTGATATATACATTTATAACACACAGTCCTACACCAAAACAACAGTCAAACCCCAACAAAACTCTACACATTAAGGTTGCAAACTCAAGCACTCAAAGGCTAGGAAATGCCAGAATTAAAGTTGCTTGTGCAACTTGTGCAACCCAACTCTTGTGGGTATGCATTATGATACAGTCTTTAATTAAATTATCACATCGTATTTTTTCTAGGGAACCCCAGCCTCATTTAATGTGCAGAACAGACTGTGCTCTGGGAATGAATCAGGTGTAGTTAATTAGGCTGTTGATTGCTACGACCAGTGGTGCTGGAACACTTTCAATAGTGGGGGTGCTAAAAGCCAGCCTCCTTACCCCTGTCCGCCCCACCCCAGAGCTGGGGCTGGGAGCAGGGCTGTGTCTCCAGAAGGGGGGCGGGACTCAGTCAGGGGTAAGCGGGCCAAGGCTGGGGACCACAGCTGGGGGTGGGCATGGGGCCAGGAGCAGAGTCCCAGGTGGGGGATCCCTGGGTTTGGGGCCAGCAGCCGAGACCCCACGTAAAACCTGAGGGTGCTGCAGTCCCCCCTGCACTTCTAATTCCGGTGCCTATGGTTACGACTGTAGCCTCATAGGCAGTTGGAAGGTATGTACTATTAGTAGTACTGGAGCAGGTGGATGTAAGTCCCACGGCCTCAGCTAAGAGTGCAGAAAAATTGAGCCCAGGTTACTATTGATTTCTGGGGACAACAAAAGAGAAAACAGGCTCAGGAGTGAGGTCAAAGGTTAATAACGAGGGATCCAGGGGGGGACATCAAGCTGAGTGAATGAGCAGGGGACTTCAGGAAGAGCAAGGATAGTCTTGTGATTAAGGCAGTTAACTGCCATTCTGGAAAATTGGATTCTCTCCCTGCTTTTGTCACAGAATTCCTACGTGATGCTAGGCAAGTCACGTAACATTTTCACAGGTGCCCACTGTGTGCACCTCACTTTCTTAGTACCCAGCTTGAGACACGTGGTATCTGATTTGTAAAAAATGCTGAGTATTCACAACTAGAGCTCTGCCAATAACTGATCTTTTGGTTCACTGGTCAAAACAGAAAAAAAATTGTTTTGGCAAAATGAAGTTTTTGTTTTCATTTAAATCATTTCCCCCTCAATAAAATTGAAGTAAAATTCAAAATGAAAAGCAGTTTCAAATAGAAAAGTCAAAACAATTCATTTCAAAAACGTCAGAATGAAATATTTCAGTTTCTTTGAATCATTTGTTGCTGTCAGGTTTTTTCAACTGAAACAAAGTAGCAAATTTGACACAAATTTGTGAAATATTTTGGTCAGCCTGAATCTGCATCTTTCAGTGAACAAGGTTTCAGCCAAAAAATTCCCCCCAGCTCTACTCATAATTGCAGCTGAGGACAATGGGAGGTCTGGTCTGAACATACAGAGTGCTATAATGTGAAACATCAAATCCTCGGCACCCCAAATTTGGCACCCAAAATTTATTGGCACTTTTGACAGTTCTGACTTTAATCGCTGTGCCTCAGTTCCCCATGTGTATAATATCCCTATGGGGATACCACTTCCACCTCACCTCAGAGGGGTGTTGTGAAACTAAGTTCTTTAATCTTTGTACAGAACTAAGATGCTATGATGAAAGCACCATAGGAAAGCTGATGAGGAAAAAATTCTGTCTTCAGTTTAGGGTTTGGATAGAGTGTAGTAAAATAAGGTATTGGGCTGGACCACGCTAATTCACTTTGTGCGGCTGGCATATACACACACTGATCAGCACATGGGAGCTGTGAGGAGATGGAGCATCCTCAGTTTAGGTGGAATCTTCATAGATTTTCTCTACAAGTATCTACTGAGCATGTGCAAACTGTTTTTAAATCTAGCCAGATTTGGGCAGGTTTTCTGCAGGAACAGAAAAAGGCACAGTCCTGACCCCAACATATCTTCCCTGCCAAATATCAAGTCCTTGCTCTAAAGCACAGAGGATGCTAGAACTTCTTAACAAAATGGTTCGGTACAAATGTTGCTAAGTGACATAGTTTGTGCACTGAAGACTCTCTTTGGAAGAGTGTGCATGCAGGTGAGGAGGCAATGGAAATGCTGTGTCCAGTAACTGAGCTTCCTCTATGATTTTCTCCATGATAGTACAGAGGGAAAGGGGTTTTGTAGCATGGTCAGCAGTGAGGGTTTGAAGCCTTCACAGAAGACAGGTCCCACAGCCCCCTACACAGCCTGTTCCCAGCACAACAGAATCTGGTGGCTATGGGGGCAGAAGAATAGGGATAGAATTCGGGATGGGTTTGTTTCTTTGCAATAGCAGTTTAAGCAAACAAACAAACAGTTGATCATGGAGCAGGTCCTCAAAGAATCAATCCTGAAGCACTTACATGAGAGGAAAGTGATCAGGAACAGTCAGCATGGATTCACCAAGGGACGGTCATGCCTGACTAATCTAATCGCCTTCTATGATGAGATTACTGGTTCTGTGGATGAAGAGAAAGCAGTGGATGTATTGTTTCTTGACTTTAGCAAAGCTTTTGACACGGTCTCCCACAGTATTCTTGTCAGCAAGTTAAAGAAGTATGGGCTGGATGAAAGCACTATAAGGTGGGTAGAAAGTTGGCTAGATTGTTGGGCTCAACAGGTAGTGATCAATGGCTCCATGTCTAGTTGGCAGCCGGTGTCAAGTGGAGTGCCCCAGGGGTCGGTCCTGGGGCCGGTTTTGTTCAATATCTTCATAAATGATCTGGAGGATGGTGTGGATTGCACTCTCAGCAAATTTGCGGATGATACTAAACTAGGAGGAGTGGTAGATACGCTGGAGGGCAGGGATAGGTTACAGAGGGATCTAGACAAATTGGAGGATTGGGCCAAAAGAAATCTGATGAGGTTCAATAAGGATAAGTGCAGGGTCCTGCACTTAGGACGGAAGAACCCAGTGCACAGCTACAGACTAGGGACCGAATGGCTAGGCAGCAGTTCTGCGGAAAAGGACCTGGGGTGACAGTGGACGAGAAGCTGGATATGAGTCAGCAGTGTGTCCTTGTTGCCAAGAAGGCCAATGCCATTTTGGGATGTATAAGTAGGGGCATAGCCAGCAGATCGAGGGACGTGATCGTCCCCCTCTATTCGACATTGGTGAGGCCTCATCTGGAGTACTGTGTCCAGTTTTGGGCCCCACACTACAAGAAGGATGTGGATAAATTGGAGAGAGTCCAGCGAAGGGCAACAAAAATGATTAGGGGTCTGGAACACATGACTTAGGAGAGGCTGAGGGAACTGGGATTGTTTAGTCTGCAGAAGAGAAGAATGAGGGGGGATTTGATAGCTGCTTTCAACTACCTGAGAGGTGGTTCCATAGAGGATGGTTCTAGACTATTCTCAGTGGTAGAAGAGGACAGGACAAGGAGTAGTGGTCTCAAGTTGCAGTGGGGGAGGTTTAGGTTGGATATTAGGAAAAACTTTTTCACTAGGAGGGTGGTGAAACACTGGAATGTGTTACCTAGGTAGGTGGTAGAATCTCCTTCCTTAGAAGTTTTTAAGGTCAGGCTTGACAAAGCCCTGGCTGGGATGATTTAATTGGGGATTGGTCCTGCTTTGAGCAGGGGGTTGGACTAGATGACCTCCTGAGGTCCCTTCCAACCCTGATATTCTATGATTCTATGATCTTTGCAGGGTTTATGAAATGATCTATACCTCGCAGCAGTGGTGTGCAAATTGTTAACTCTGTGACACACTAAGAGCGAACACTGCTTATTGTAGGGCTTACTAATGGGAAGAGTTTTATTGAAATCTATAGAACTACAGTACTGCCAACGTTGACAGATCAAAAGTCATGAGTCAGGCCCCCAAAATCACCAGATTAACTTTAAAATCATGGTATTTAAAAACAAACAAATAAATAAAGGTGAGGTTCTTTCTTTGTTTGCCTACTGGTTTCTGAGCTTTTAGGGTGCATTCGCATCCTATTTTCAAGCTTTTCTCCACAAGCAGAAGAGCTAGAAATGTACTTTCTTTTTTAAAATCAAAGCTGAAGGCAGGTTTATACTTTGTGCCTACTGCACCCTCCGTTATTAAATATTAGTAATAGATGTGTAAGTATTATAAAACCTCAATTAAAATGTAATAGTTGAGGCCCCAGTCCAGCACAACATTTAAGCATATGCTTAACTTTACATGTGCACTTAGTCTCATTGAAGTCAATGGACCTACTTGTGCTTAAACTTAAGCACATGCTTAACTGTTTTGTTGGTTCAGGGCTTTAATTTCTTCTGTCAATGCACAGGATCTTTCAAACCACATCAAGCTCTTCATTTACCAGGAAGTACATTCTTCTCATTCTTTAGCACAATGTAAAAATGTTGTGGGTTTTTTTTTTTATCCTACCAGTCGTGTGCCTAGCATCGCTATAGATAGAGGCAGTGTTGGTATAGACCACTTTTAATAAACACAATCAGCTCAGACTTTGAACTTTTTAATCTTTTCCTGTGTGCCACAGAGTGGAATAACTAAAGCTTATCAGTTTATGCATGTGCCTAACTCTTCAATGCATATATAAGTTTAAATCTCATTACATTATAACACACTGCTTTAAATTATGGAGACATTTTAAGAGTATGCTACACATTTTTATCAAATAGGGAGACTTAACTTTTTTTTTCTTCTACAGAAAGCCAGCAAAATCCTGCATGTTAATACGTCAAGAAAATAAACTTGTGTAAAGATTTGCCTACCCAAAGTACAGTATAATTTAAATGTAAATCCCTTAGAAACCCAAAGCACTGTGTTTATAATATGAGAACAGCGGGCAGTCATGCCCTTGACTGGAGGGCATGTCATCGAGTCCTCTCCTTCGCTGCAAAACCATCAGGCTGGCAGTAGTGACAGATGAACAGCTTACCATTAATTTCTCCTCTTTCATGCCTTCAATCCAAATGGTGCATATTCTCCACAGGGAGGCATCAAGGTCTTTGCCTTTATTTCTCTTGCATACTCACACTGACTTATAAATCAAGTGCAGATAAGAAGAGAGGGCAAATATCAATCTTTTTTTTCCTGGCCAGTGCCCACTGGCACACTACTGAGCTTTGAGTGAAAGGTTCTTCAAATCTTCATGTGATTCATAGGCAAGGGAGCTCTCTGTGAGGCCAAAACAACAAAAGAAATTTGAGAGATAGGATTTGTATATCTGGGCTTATAAATTAGAAGCTTTCCCTCTGCAATGTTTAAATATGAGTTACAAAAAATGTGAATCTAAGTTGTTATTACTTTATTAAACAATTCTTCCTGGAATATAAAATAGGCAGTATTCCTTAGCAGATGGCAGCAGAGCAGCTATAATCAGAATGGTTTATATTCTCAATATTGCTTCTCTTATTTGGGGCATCTCTGTTCTTTGCTACTAAATTAATTCAATCCTTTAAAACAGATCTACTTTTGCAATTATTTTGCTGGATTGATGGCAAGTTTATGTTTTCCTGTCAAAATATGAGAACATATTTTAAATTATAACATGTAGGGTGAGATCCTCACAGCACAGCTCCAGCAATTGAAATGGAGCGGTGCTGATTTCATGTAGCTGGGGAATCTGGCCCAGAGTTTAAGCATAGTAGGTAGTATCTTACTAGTGATCGGCTAGATCGTTGTTTTTTCTCCCCCTACTGAAGATTTCAAAGTTGAAAGAGTTATTCAGATTATTATTGAAAAAGATGCTGCATTTAAAAAAAATTAAATTCACAAAATCATTAGTCTTCAAATGTTATTTGGCTGGCACTGTACTGACTAATGCTGTCGTCAACCTGCCAATTGCAGTGAGGATACTTTGGTCTTCCTTTGCCAGGATTTTTTTTTTAAGTGCCTCTCTAGAAGAATGTTCTCTTCAGTTACAATAAATTGATCTTGCATTTGAAACATATATTAAATCATTGATGGGGATGATGCACCATTATTACATGTCAGACAAAAATCTATATGATGAGAGTTGTTGACACATGAGAATATTATTTTCCAGCTAAGCAAGAGGTGTTAATGCTGCTAAATGGCTGCAAATGTTGATGTTAGAGGCTGCCTGCTGGCCATTTGCAGGTGACACATCTGGGGATTCAGGGCTATTTCATTTTCTAGACTTTTTTAAGGCTTCAGGCCCTATCCATAAATTACAGCTGATGACAACAGTGGAAGCTAACAGTGGCAAAATTAGGCCCACAGGCAAAATAATTATATATACAGCCTTTAGCAGTGAGGGAAAAAGCCATCAATCAGACCCCAATTATTCACTAGTTAATCAGCTCTGCCCTTCCTTTATTGAAGGGTTACAGTGTAATTAAGTTGGCAGCATCCTTTTAATTCATCAAACATACAACACATGGCGGTGTTTGCTGCAATCAGGGGACAGCACCTTTGTGTGTCTGACCCCTAGCACTGTTGTAGGAGATGAGGAAAACTTCAGAGGTAAGAGAGAATATTTATGCGAAGGCACGGTACAGTGTGCATGGAGTTTGCAGCAGTCTGCACCTTGCAGTTGTTTTTAACTCAGAGCTGTGTGTCTGAAAAATGTAGACAGAGCATGCAATGAAATTGCAGCACTCCCTAGAATGTGTGAGTGAGAGATCTCTAACACACATGCTCACCAAAACAACCATCAGAGGAGTGAAGTTTTGGAATAGCCTTCCAAGGAAAGCAGTGGGGGCAAAAGATCTATCTGGATTTAAGATTAAACTTGATAAGTTTATGGAGGAGATGGTATGATGGGATAACATGATTTTGGTAATTAAATATTCATGGTAAATAGGCCCAATGGCCTGTGATGGGATATTACATGGGGTGGGATCTGAGTTACCCAGGAAAGAATTTTCTGTAGTTTATAACTTAGTTTGTAATTTTCTGAATTTTCTGAATCTTGCCCATATGCTCAGGGTTTAGCTGATCGCCATATCTGGGGTCGGGAAGGAATTTTCCTCCAGGGCAGATTGGAAAAGGCCCTGGAGGTTTTTCACCTTCCTCTGTAGCATGGGGCACGGGTCACTTGCTGGAGGATTCTCCGCTCCTTGAAGTCTTTAAACTACGATTTGAGGACTTCAATAGCACAGATATAGGTGTGAGGTTTTTTGCAGGAGTGGTGGGTGAAATTCTGTGGCCTGCGTTATGCAGGAGGTCAGACTAGATGATCATAATGGTCCCTTCTGACCTAAATATCTATGACTCTGTGAATAGTCATCCCTGAAAACCTGTTAGTTTTGTCTTCTCTTTAGCTACCTCAGAATGATGTAGAGATTCTGTAAATTTCTCATTAGTTAGCAAAATAACTTGCCTAGCACTGCAACTCCAGCTCATATTCCCACCAGGCTCAACATCGCTGATTCCTCCAGGAATCCTCAAGGAGCTCACCCATGGGTTGCCTTATACCTAAGCCAAAATATTATGAGGAGCTGCAGGAAGCTGTTCTGCTCCTGCCTTTGCTCCCACCGCAGCATAACTTCAAGTGCCCTACCATACTCTGGGATTTGGAGCACTCTACACTGATGCCTCACAGATCTACCTCTCTTGCAGACCTGTCTCCTCTGTTCAAACTAAAATCTCAGCTTGCCTCTGACATCTCCTTGTGGATATCTAGCTGTCAGCTAAAGCCCAGCATGGCTAAATAAAGCTCTTAATCCCCCCACCCCACACAAGCTCTCCACACTACCTCCTTTCTCCACCCCTGTGGCCAATACCACCATCCTGCCTGTCACTCAGGCCCATAACTTGGGCATCATCTTTGACTTGGACCTCTGTCTAAGTCTTCACATCCACGGTATGTCCTAGTCTTGCAGATTCTTTCTGCATAACATCTCGGAGATAGAGCCTTTCTTATCCATCCACACAGTTAAAGCTCTCATCCAGGGTCTCATCTCACATCTTGATTACTACAACAGCCTACTTTGGCAAATGCAGTCTTGCCCTACTCATATTCATTCCGAATGCTGCTGCAAAGATCATTTTCCTAGCCTGTCACTTTCACCATGTCACCCCTTTTTGCATCCCTCCCTTCTCTCTCACATCAAACATAAGCTGCCTATCATCTCTCATTCATTATCAAAATGTCAACTCCCAACTTTAACTGGCCCACGATGCCAGCCTCCATTGCCCACTTGTAAAATTTTCAAACAAGCAACCTTGTACTTTTTCCCCCAGGCTGCCCCTCTCATTTGGGAGGAGCGCCTCATAAACATCTGCAAAAGTAACACCTTGTCCTCCTTCAGATCCCTCCTTAACACTCTCCTTTGCCACAATGCCTACAAAAAACTTGTCAACGGGGAGGCCGCTAGTGTGCTAACACCATGTCCTATTGTGCTGAGCAATATTGTCTCATTATTTCCTTGCATGCACCCATCTGTCTCTATCCCTCAGTTATCTCTTGTCTTATACTTAGCTTGTAAAATCTTTGGGGAGTGGACTATCTCTTTGTTGTTGTTAGAGATTAGAGTTTTCATGCAGTGAAGTCCCCTGCACACAAACATTAGATCTTGGTGCCTGCCTGGGATTTTAAGTAGTACTGAAAACATGAGTCCTATTAAAAGTCATTGGGACTTGTGTTTTTAACTCACTTAGGCTCTTCTGAAAATCCCACACTTTGGCTCGTTGAAACTCCCAATCTTCACCACTGTGTATTCAAACCTGAATTCCCTGCTTAGGAAAACCTTTCATTCTACAGGGCTGCTAAGAATGAGGGGGAAAGAGATCAGCTGCTCATCCAGTAATCTGCTTCATTTGTCCTAATAGATTAAGAGCTATATTCATGACTGTGTTCAAATGTAGAGACCAGTGTGGAAGTTCTTCCCGCAGACAGCACAGATTCCATTTTATAGTAATCTCTCTTATCACCCTGATGCTGAGCACACTGGATATTGCTATCATTTTCTTTGTTGTTACAACACAGTTGTTCAAACTGCAGTACACCCACTGATGGTGTATGGCACACTTGGACAGATCCTCAACTGGTGTCAAATGCTTATCTCTACTACCGTCAATGAAGCCACTGGTCATTTTGTACCAGCTGAGGATCTGGACTCTTTGATGGGATATGACTTTAATAGAAATTATATCCTTGCTCACTAAACACTCAGCAACATAAAATTAGTATTTAAGCATTTTTTTTCTCATTCATCTACAGGTACCATTTACTCTTTGTTTTTCATTACTGAAAGTTTTGGAGTGCAATTTAGATCCTGTACTATCTCAATGTCAGTAAGCTTAATTTTTTGAAAAAGCAAAAGCATGCCATATTGCAATCAGTCTAAGTCATAACTCAAGACAACACAATCGTGTCTTAGTATAACTTTATACAATGAGAGTGTATCAGTTATTATTGAGGGTCATTGCATTCCATCTGTCAGTGTTATGTTATTGAATAGATTCAACTAATAGTTTGTGCTGATTATAATAAGGTATGTTTAAAAACTGCCAGTCTATTAATACCCTTCAGAACTGCACTGAAATTATGTAGATGCTTTGGTAAACAAGAGAAAGCAGCATGAACTGCAGTGAAGCAAAATTCCTGGTAGAAACTTGCAGGATATCCTTCTATGTGTATAAATGGAGACTTTCACCAATGTAATTTATTTTATGTGTGCATAGGGTCTGCATTTAAGAGTTACTTAAAGAGCTATTCTGCATGATAGACATGTTTAGCTATGGCTGCAAACCCTACTTCCATTTCTTGATACAAAAAATACAGCAATTTTCTCCCAGCTAACACTACTACAGTGAGGGGGGAAACAACTGAAGTTCCAGTTATGAACAGTTGCAGCTGAGCAAATAGTGAATTTTTCAAAATATTCATTCAAATTTTAAATAATTATTATTCAAATGTATTCATAAGGTTTATATTTACTTTCTGAATTTGTATATTCAAATTCACTGAAACAAAACATTTAAAACAAAATCCATACTTGACAGTTTTCATTAATGATACATATAGGTCAGATTCACGAAGGGACTTAAGTGCCTAAACCCAACATTTAGGTGCCCTGGCATTCACAAAACCCCTGCTCAGCCACTGCCTAAGTTTCCTAAGCCCCTACATTTTTGCTGTATAAATCCTGTAGGCACCTAAGTTTCTGCTACTGGGCCCATGCACTGCTGCCTCAGACCAGTGCCCA